GGAGAGTCCTGCTCTAACTTGTCACCCAAGCAAGTTTCTCCCTGTCACTGATTCAGGTAAAGGTACTAAAGTTCTCTTTCCAGTGGCTTGAACAGTTTCCATGGAAAAAATAATGAAAACTGGAACTTGGCATGTATACTACCTGCATTTTACATAGCAAAGTTGTGTAGAGCAAGTCCTGTCTTGTTAACAGACGTAGCTGTTAGTAGCACATGTAAAAGAATAATTGGAAGATAGATGTTAAATAAAGGTTTGCATTTGCAGTCATGGCAAGTTCCCCCAAGTATTTCTCTTCCAATATGAAGCATCTTAGCCAGAGTTTCAAACAATTATTTCTTCTAGGTCCTCCCCAAAACATATTTGTACCAAGTTTAGATGTTTTTAGTCCCTCTTCACCCTGCTTTACCTTTCTGTGTTTATTATCTCTTCTGTGATTTCTCCTCTTGTGTTTTGCAGCTGTCTTCGGTTCCCCTTAGCTTCCCGGTTGCCTTTTCCAGCGTCGTTTGGGATTCCCGCTGTTCTCCTTGGCTCCGTTGGCCACCCTGTTTCCGCAGCATCGCTCCCGTGGGCTTCTTGCCCCCAGGCCAGGGCCTCACGTTCAGTCCTGCCTCTCACCTGACTGAGACTGCTGAAAATTAGGGTCATTTTAAAGCACATAGCCAAAATACAGGCTCAGAATTTTCCTCTAAAGCTCTTTTTCATTATTTCACTTTAATAATCTGTCCTGTACATCACTGTCATCTTCTGGAAGCCCTAATTTTATCCCTTTGGAAGAAAATGGGATTTGGGGTGATGCTTGAGGAGTTGCCGTGGCTGGGAAGCAGGAACGAGGGGCTGTGGCTGGAGCGGGAGAGGAAGAGGGTTTGGAGGGGCCCGAACTGCAGGAGGGGGCATCAGGTCAGCCTTGTGGGGGACGAGAGAGTGACGGCGAGGAGAAAACGTGGTCAGATTCACCCCTTCAACAGCCAAGAAGCCGGGTCTTGCTTGTATGTTCAGATGGGAGAGCTGGGGGGACAGCTCTCCCCGCGCAAGAAAGAGAAAAGAGGCCACGTGGGCGCGAAGCCTGAGGTGAAGCACAAGGTGGCACGAGAAGACCTCTGGATAGGACACACTGGTGGAGGAGGGCGAGGGAGAAGCATCTCCGTGTTGGAGGAGGAGGAGAAAGTCCACATCATATCCCCCAGCTTCCATTTGGGAGAATGTAACGTGTCCCACTCGGAGAAGCAATGGGATTGAAAGGAGAGGACGTTTGAATACTGGTGGCAAAAGAGCTGATAATGTCAAAGGTGGGAGTAAAGGTTAGTGACAGTAAGAGGATACGTGAGCAGGAGGCAGGAGAAGGTCCCATTTCCCTAGCTGCCCCCATCCCTGCTCTTCCCGCAGGGATCTGCTCCTCGGGCAGGAACGAGGAGAGGAAGGAGCAGGTTGCACGTGAGCAGGAGGCAGGAGAAGGTCCCGTTTCCCTAGCTGCCCCCGTCCCTGCTCTTCCCACAGGGATCTGCTCCTCGGGCAGGAGCGAGGAGAGGAAGGAGCAGGTTGTGTCTCTGGAGAGGCCCAGGGAAGGGCCTCGATCCGCGGGACTTGGAGCCAGGAAAGGGAAAGCCCCAGGATGAGGAGAGCAGAGGAGCCTGCAAGTCCCACTGCCCCCAATGGCAGGGGGCATGAAGGACAACCGCAGAAGAGAAGATTAAAAACAATAATAATAATAAACAGGTCGCTAAGGTAGTGAACTAGCAGGAAAAGAGAAGCACGAGCAGTGTGAGTGGAGCAGGGCCTCGAAGGCAGGAGCAGGGCCGCAGTACCAGTCCATGCCGCAGGGTCCCGGTGCTCGGGTGTCCCTCAGGGATCCGGGTGGCAGCGCAAACACGGTGCCTCCCTCTTTCCACCCCGATGGCCTTTTCCTGCCCGTGGCCTGATAAACCCTCATATTGGCTGTTCCAGCCTTCTCTTATTAAAGCACACTTTTTTTGCATGCCCGCAGTATGCTCTCAGCATTATTAGCTTGCATTATCTATTTATTTCAGTGTTATTGCTTTCCTTAAGCATATCGGTTCCATTTTTTTATTCTTTGGCTCCAGGCTCCCTAGGGCTGGCTCCCCATTTCACCAATATTAGCCTGCTAAATTCACCATAGCGGAGAAGTCGCTCAGATGTTTTTGGGAAGAGGGCCCGGGTTGTGCTGTGCAGGGTAGTGTCCCACTAACGCCCACTGGCACGAGGGCTGTTCCAGGGGTGGGAGATAGCAGCACAGATAAAGCTTTGACTTGCTTCCTCCCCCTTTCCCAAGGCAAACTCAAATGTATGTAAATATTCGCGAAAGATTTGCTCAGCATCTTCTCAAAACACTTCAAAAGTTTCAAAACCTCCCTGGACAGGAATCTGGGGTAGCATCAGTGTTAAATATTCATGGAGTGAGAACTTTTTTGCTAATGTTCTAGCATAAATTTTTTCTTTATTGCAGCTTAAACCTCTAGGTACCTGTTTCTTGCCCACTGGCTCTGGAGATGTAGTGTTATTTTTGTAAGTACCTCTCACGTCTTCAATGATACTTCCTCGCTTCTAGCTAAGATACCTCCATTTCTTCCTTATTATCTTTTTAGACCTTGTTCAGACATCGATATTGCTTCCTTCTGTATGCTTTGTTAACCGATCTTCCTGGAAGTATTGTGTCCCAAAAGGGACATCTTAGTCCCTCTTTCAATATGTTTATGAAAATACTGACTTACATGACCTGCAGGAAAGCCCTCTGGAGACCCGCTCACTAGATTTTCCATTCTGACACTTTAACTGGTTTCTTATCTTCTTCCTACCACATATGCATCCATTTTCACAATGCTGCCATCATCTAGTGTGTGTTTCCCTCACGGGAGGAAAAACCCATCATGAAAATATCATGAGAACCATTTTTATAAGAATTACTGGAATAAAATGAAAAATTTATCACGTTTAATACCTCTTTCCTGTCTTCAAGGTCAATTACCCAGTCATAGTATGAAATTAGGTTGGCTTGACAAATATTGACCATGACTAATTTCTGTTACTCGAGTGCTAACAGTAATTTGCTTTAGTATTTGTTCCAGTATATTTTCCGTAAGTTAAAATGAGAGATCAGTAGTTGCAAATCTCAAATTTCACCTCCTGTAAAGAATCATGTTCTCAATTTTTGTAGTATTCTCTTGAAATCCATTGCTAGTTTCCTCTCATTCATTTCTTCTGATTTTGCATATTTGCCTATTTCATTTAACCTGCAGTAATAACTTGGTCAAATTTTCACATTTTCACAAATTTTCAGTGTATGTGAAATTCTTGGGTTTGAATTCCTTGTTTTGAATTCTAGTTTGTTGAAGAGGTCGTGATTTTAGCCAAACTGGCCCTTTTTCCGTGCCCGGAGGCTGTTTCTGCGTGGTGGTGGTTGGTTTGTTGTGTAATTTCCTTAAGGAACTGGCAGTTCTCCAGGGTCCTTGTTCTTGTTGTGCTGTTTCTCCTTGGAACTCACCTGCTAATTCCCATGAGCTGGTTGAAGCGTGCAGTGCTGAAGTCCTGTTGGAATCATCTCTCCTCCATTTCCCAAATTTCTCCAACTCTTTTGCTGTTTGACTCGAGGTCATCTCTAATCTTCTCTTTCGCCTAGTTATTTTGCACTGTTTGAGCAAATCTGGAAGTCTCTCTTGTCATTGCTTCTTCTCCCTTTTGGATCAAAACCTTGTTGCGGTTCTGCTCTAGTCCATTCCCCATGGACATCTGCATCCTTGAAATCCATCATATCCAGGTCCTTTGCTTTGAACGCTCTTGCTACCTGCTTAAATAAGTCATCACCTGATGATAAGTTAATTATACATAGCAATTATCCATAGCCTGGGCAGGCTGGTGCCCAACCCGCCTTCTCTAAGTGTCACCCAGGTGTTTGCAGCAGCCCTTCCCTCTGTTCTGACCCTTAGTGTGTATGTACCCAGTGTGGAGACAGTGGACACCTCTACAGTGACACTGACAGGTCAAACCATCCTGGAGAAGTTGCGTGTCTCTACATCAGCCTTGTTGTCCTGAAGATTATTGCTCCGAGTTTCTCTCGGAATGGCTAAATCACAACTCCTGTGATAGGATCAGGGGTTCCCTCGCCGTTTCCCTTGCATCTTCCAGCAGTTTCCAACGGGCAGATCCACGAAGTCCCGCTCCCGTCCCGTGGTCCTCTCCCAGGCAGTTATCCCTGGTGCCTCCCCCTATACCTCCACGTCCACGGTTCAACTCACCAGCTCAGCTCCTTTCCCTCATTCTCACCTTCCTCTTTTGTCTATCCTGAAGACCTGTTTCCAGATTAAAAAAAAAAAAAAGAAGAAATTCAAATGGAGTAAGTCTGTGGTATTTTATTAGTGGGTAGAAGAGCAGGGAAGAAGCTAGCTGTTTTTTAGCCTGTTTGTGACCTGCATATTGTATCTAGCTTATTTTTTAGGGCTTCAAAATGGTAAGAAGTGTTGGGGATATCTTGTCGTCCGTTTAAGCTCTGGAGGTACAAGAGAGGGTGAGGAGCGGGGGGATCCCACGCTGGGAGGTCCTTTGGAGCAGCAGTCCCACTGTCCTGCTCTGAATTTGCCTTTTGTGCCAAAGCTCTCAGCCGACCGCAGAGGGAGGCAGCCTCTGTGGGGTGACATTAGTTCCCTTCGGGGATGTCCCCTCTGTGCTCCGCGGTCCCCTCGCTGTGTCCTCCGTGCTGCTGAACCAGCATGGAGGTGTCTGCGTCCCTCTTTTACTGGAGAGGGAGGAAATTCATGAAAGAAGTATGGAAACTCTCAGATGGAACTGATATTGTCACCTTAGATTTATGGTTAATGTCACCAAAACGAGCTGTGCTGCACTCAGAATCCATCATCTCCCCAGAGCAATGAGTTTTGGGTAAGATGTGGGTTTTTTCGCTGTTTGTTTGATTCTAACGCGATGTGGTGGCCGGGGTGCTGCCAAGACCCGCTCCTGACGTCTCTTTTCTTCCCTCCTCGCCGGCGCGCCAGTGTTCCACCCCGTGGAGTGCTCCTACTGCCGCTGCGAGAGCATGCTGGGCTTCCGCTACCGCTGCCAGCAGTGCCACAACTACCAGCTGTGCCAGGCCTGCTTCTGGCGCGGCCACGCCAGCGGCACGCACAGCAACCAGCACCAGATGAAGGAGCACTCGTCCTGGGTAACTGCCCTTCCCTCCTCGCCGGCGCGCCAGTGTTCCACCCCGTGGAGTGCTCCTACTGCCGCTGCGAGAGCATGCTGGGCTTCCGCTACCGCTGCCAGCAGTGCCACAACTACCAGCTGTGCCAGGCCTGCTTCTGGCGCGCCCACGCCAGCGCCACGCACAGCAACCAGCACCAGATGAAGGAGCACTCGTCCTGGGTAACTGCCCTTCCCGACGCGCCCCTGCTGCTCCCGCTGGAGGTCAACCCTGGTTGGGAACGAGCCGCAGCCGCCTGCGCCGCTGTGCGCGATACGGTGTGAAAGTACACCCATAAACAGCACTACTGTAGATAGCACTGCTAAAGTACACCAACAGATACATCCAATTTTGTTAAGTGACCTAAGTAAGTACATAGAATCACAGAATGCTTAGGGTTGGAAGGGACCTCTAGAGTCATCTAGTCCAACCCCCTGCACACGCAGGGTCGCCTAGAGCACGTGGCACAGGACTGCGTCCAAGCGGGTTTGAAGATCTCCAGAGAAGGAGACTCCACAACCTCTCTGGGCAGCCTGTTCCAGGGCTCTGGCTCCCTCACTGTTAAAAAAAATTTCCTTAAGTTCCTGTGGAACTTTTGGTGCTTCAGTTTGTGACCATTACCTCTAGTCCTATCAGTGGCCACCACTGAAAAGAAACCAGCACCATCCTCTGCACTCCCGCCCTCGAGGTGCTTCTAGACACTGCTCAGGTCCCCTCTCAGCCTTCTCTTCTCCATAAGTAATTACGTGCTCTAGGTGACCCTGCGTGTGCAGGAGGTTGGACTAGATGACTCTAGAGGTCCCTTCCATCCTTCAGCATTCTGTGATTCTATAATATCATTCACTTATTGGTTTCCATAGCATTCAGTGCTGTACGAAGCACACTACAGTTCTTTTCTAAAGCCTAAACCATGGGTTTTCCTCCAGTCCTGCCCACGGTCCTGCTTCTTCCATATCTTCTCATCTAGCTTAACAAGACACAAAGCCCCTAAATCTTTTCTTGCTAAATCGGGTGTTTCTTTAAAAGAAAAACATGGCATTGTCACCCTGAGAATTGTAAATGTGGGTGTTGGTAATGCAGAGTCTCCACTAAATCATCTTAACTGAGTTATGTGGAAAATAACATTTAGGTAGGTGGCTATACAATATCCTAAGAAATAGACAAATACAGATTTGAAAGCCTATTTTATGGCAAAAAGATTTAAGCCCAATCTTATACATATTTAAAGATAAATTCAAATGCTTTTGAGTTGAAGTTAGGAATTATCCCCATTAAGGGAAATTGTTATAGTATGAACCTTAAGTTTAGAAAACAGGGTCAGTGTTTGGAAGCAGAAGGTGGTAGAATTCAGAGTAAATTATTGTTCCTTTTTTCAGAGCAAAGGGAATAAACTTTTGGGGCTTTCAATCTAAATAGTTAAATTACTAATATATTATCACTCCCTGAAGTAAATACATCCAGTCTGGATCTTTTTGTACAAAAATCATATCTAAACACTAGATCTCATAGTGTAGGTATTTCGTCTGAAATCCTCTGACCTCTTTTTGCAGCACATTGAATTAGATGGATTGTCTCTATTCTCGTATTAAAATCTACAAATCTTTTTTTTTTTTTTCCCATACTAACTTTTGGGGTGTTTCATTGTTAATAGGCTGTTCAGAAATGTTGACTTTTAAGATATGATGTGAATTGGAGGAAGGGGATATAATATAAATTAAAAAAAAGGCAAGGGGAGAATATTCAAAAAAAAGATGGGAGGTTTTGAGAGCAGAAAACAGAAGGTAGTGAGGAACAGTTCTGTCCTCGCCTATAGAAATACTTACTCTTGTGTGTCTTTATCTTTGCCCATCTTTATGTACTTTGTGAACAAAAATTAGTGCCAAATTTTGTTCATACAGTTCTTAATCATAAACGCTTAGCAGTTAATGCAATTAAAGTAAGCAACTGCGATAATATGGGCACACTCCTGAAAACTATTCTGATGTTAATGTAATGATTAGTTTGTAGTTTTAGATGAAAGACGTCGCAAATTTCTGTCTTTATTCCTCTAATTTTGGTTTAGAAGACTTGCATGACCTGTGTACATGTGGTACATTCTGT